TGGGTGAAGGATATTTAGTTAATAAAAATCGAATCTTGAAATTATTGAGAATTTTCGACTCTTGGTGATTTTCGGGTTTTTAGGTTGTGCCCCAAAAGGACTGACATCCCGAAAGCCGCCGAAAGTCGAGAAACGCTTTAATTTTCACGTTTCAAATTGTTGCAGATGCGAATCAAATGTACTTTTAATCTGGTTGTGGTTATTTGCGCGCTCTGAACTAAATTATCCCGATTTATTTAAAGTTGCAGCATTTTGGGATTCGGAAATGGTACAAATCATCAAGCTCGTAAGACTGGTTATAATTTTTTAGCACCAATTTGGAAAAATTCTGAAAAAAAAACAGTTAGAATAGTTGGTAACTTTTGAGCATCTTCAATCACAATCGCAATGCAAATCTGAAGAAGCTCATCATGCGTGATAGCGAAACGTTAGAACCGAATGTTGTTACAAGTGGAAAAAATGCCACTTCAATATCCGACGGGTGCCGTGAAAGAGGCACATTTTCAGTTAATTTTCCCAGGATTTCTTGGGCAAATTTTTCAGTGTTCGAAGTAAATCCGCTCCTGCGGATCTTCTATGCTGGCTTCGCGATAATTAACATGGTAATTTGAGGGCGTCATGTTGGCAGCAACGTTCATGGCGTGTAGTGGCTAGCTTGCTCGCTCCTAACTCCTATTTTACCGCCTGGCAAAGCCCTTTCGGCCCCCTCGTAATTGAGCGATATACATATAAATTGATTGGCGAATTTATGGGTCTGCGCTAAATCGTTATGGCTTATTTCGTTCGGCTTTTATGGCTGTTGATGTTGGCCACATGCGCTTTTTCCACCAAAACCTCATTTTTTTAGCCAGTCGCCGACCTTTTGATTGATTTTGGCCATTCGACAATCTCTGAATTAGTCACGTTTTTGCCACATGTGATTGGCCCTTGTGAAACCAACGATTTAATGCGAAAGACATTTTGAGGATTTCAGCCCATCGTGTGGTGGCCCCACTCTGAAAATAACTTCATTACTTCGTACCTAAGTGGGTCGTTAGTTTCAACTTTGGGTTCAGATTTCGTCTCTGAAACCTGCACGAAATTGCGCCTAACAATTTTTTAATAACAGGTATTATGGGCGCATTTTTCTAAAATAAAATTAATTTGCCTTCACGGAATGGTTGCGGTAGTTTTGGGGCCCTAATTACGGCCGTCGACTCTATAATAAAGTGGAATAATCATTTTTAGGGTCGAAAGAGAAATATAGTGGGCATTTATTCACGGCTAATTAAATGTGAAAAATCGCGCAAATTAATAGTAGATTTACATCGAACGAACGGGTGTGTGTTGAGAACGTGTTGCCTACGGCCCTGATATGTCTTCCTGCCACATTTGGGAAAGTCAGGTCACTGCGGGGTCGAGCAGGGGCTAAAAAGCTCGGGAAATCAGCCGCAAAAGACCAGACTCCCGAGGGATCGATTGGCCGCACTCTAAGATCGCTCTTTGATACACGCTAACTTTTCCATATTGACTGGGAATCGGGGGAAAATGCTCCCGATATGTCTATTGTTTTCGGATGAATGCCCGTCCAGGTTTGCGCGAGATAGTGGCGAATAGAAACAGTTTTCGCCATCAGAACTGAGTGGACGGTTTGAAAAAACCCAATCAATTTTTGTTCCTCTTTTCGCCAAATTATAAAGAACGAACAAAAAACCCGCAAAGTAGACCTTTGTTGAGTCAACAATTATTTATGGAGCCTCATGAGTGAAGTAGCAGCCTTGATTAATACCTTATTGGTTTCTGCAGCGAGGGCCATTTGAAGGTGCACAATTTGTAGCCTTATTTATTGGATATTGAATTTTAAACAGCGCCGCTATTAATGGATATAAATTGCTCAGCTGAAAATTGCCTTTAAAGTGTTTCGGGACTCTGCATGCCGGAGACTTGGACTAATCGTTGCGCTAATGTCCATCGATATAATGCTCATAAAACAGACATTAAATTAAATTATGTAGTTGAGCAGAAAAGAGCGCCTTCAAGTTATTTATTAGTGTTTTTTTCTTTATATAATGCGCCAGTAGAAATTTGATGCCAAAGAAGGTATGGAATCGTTTGTGCTAAGTAAAGTTCACGGTTGGCAAAACGATCTGAAATAAACCATTATGAACTAAAAGAAGGAATATGTAAAACTCGCAACATCAACGACAGAAAAAAGCCGCTCAAATCAAAATGAAAGATTAATATTTACATTTAGGAATGTTTTCCGG